TATCTTGTTTGGGTCGAGCACGGCCGAGCACATTTTTTTGGTCCAGCACGGTCGAAACATATTTTGCTTGGAATTTTTGCAAACACGGTCGAGCACATTGTTTGCTTGGTTTTTTTGCTTAGGTTTTTTGCAAACACGGTCGAGCACGTTGTTTTTTGGTCGAGCACGGTCGAAATATATCTTGCTTAGGTCGAGCACGGCCGAGAACATTTGTTCCCAAATATCTGATTTGGATATTCAAATGCAACTGTATCACTCCTAACCTTTTTTCAGGCGGTTTTGTCGCCTACACCGATGGAAACAGCGGAGTGAGTGAATCGATCCTGCGTCGGAACCCAGCGAGGTACTACATGGACAACGAGTCCACCTGTTTCGACCCCGTCACCGGAACTATGCGAGTTCTCGTGGTGAAGGCAGGGGTCATAGCATGTCTCGCAGTCATGGCCTATGGAGCGTCCATATTCACGGCCAGACAAACTCTGCAAGAGATTAAACGAGAGGTATTTTTGTTATCTTCAAAATCTTATGATACAAGTTTTCCTTTTTAAAATAGAGGGGCATTAATCTTCAAAATGTATTTATATCTGCGCTTCTAACTGTTTCTAAAAAACGTTATTTCTATCTGGAATCGATTAAAAGACATTTTGCATTCAATCTATTTGATGATGAATGACAATTTTTCAGGATGTTTTTCATGGGGTAAAATTTTTAATCTAAGGAACTTCTGCTTCTAAATCTGCTTCTAGGTGAACATGCACATGATTGGGTTCAAGTACATCTTTAACATTCTTCAGAGTCACTGCGTGGTGGGGCTTCTGTCTAATATCTGTTGTGCTGCTCAGATAGCAGATTACTTATCTGGCCGAAACCATCTAGTTGTGGGATATGTTCCGATTGTTGGAATTGTGGGCATGCTTCTGACGCCTGTTGTTTATAGACTGTCAATTTAAAAAAAGAATTGATTTGTAAATTTACAGGCGAGATGACAATTCTTCGAAAGCGACAATTCTTCGGTAGTATTAAGAGAGAGCAACAATTTTCACTAACCCAGGCTGAGGTGTTTGACTCATATGATTCGACCGAAACGGTCAAACGATGTCCGTCTTTCGTCAGAAATTAAGACGAAGGCTAAAGTCGAACCAAGGCTAAAGTCTAACAAAGACGAATAATGAGCCAAATAGGGTCGAGTCCTGGGTCAGACAGGGTCAAGTCCTGGGTCGAACAGGGTCGAATCATGAGCCAAACAGGGTCGAATCATGGGTCGAGTAGGGTCAATTCATGGGTTGAACCGGGTCGAATCATGGGTCAAACAGGGTCAGACGGGGTCGAATCATGGGTCGAACGGGGTCGCATTTTGAGTCCGATAGGGTCAAATCATGGGTGGAAAAGTGAATACACTGAATTTTTGTCGGACTTTTTTTGCTCGAAAAATTGTAAAACACATGCAAGTAGCAAAGTAGTCCAGCACTTATGTGTTTTTAATGTGCAGTTAGCTAGACCAAAACATTTTCTGATTGTATACAGGATCGACACGAGAAGGCCTACAAATGGTCCCAACGTCAAATCTAAGCATAATTTTTGGGGCACCGACAAAACTGTCACCACAAAAACACTAAGATAGAGTGCATCAAACCATATATAAACCATTAAAATGAAGACACGAAAGCAAATCAACAGGCCAACTAAATCACAAGCACAATTACCACTTACTCTGAAGCTAAAACTTTTGTTGGATTTTTTGTTTCGCGGTTATCGATCGGCGCGAAGCACGCACCATCAGACCACTAGTCGAAATTTTAAGCTATTATTTGTAGCTTAAGCTACAAATAGAAGCCTAAAAGTTTACCCAGTTCTTGGCGATTGGTGTTTGCGCCGACAACAGCCAGGTGTTTTGGTAAACCGTTTGTATTTCTTTTCCGTATTGCTAAAATTCCCAAAAAAAGACAACTCGCATTAAAAATTATCTCACAATATACCCGGGTTGACCTCAATACACCGAAAATGCTTATCATACAATTCCATACAACAAAAATCATTATCATACAAATTCATACATCAAGTGTATGGAGAAAATGCTTTTCATACAATTTTCATACATTTTCGAAAAACAATAGAAAAAAATTCATACCATTTCTGCGGTTTTTTGAGAACAGTTGAACAGACTGGTGACAAAAAAACTGATTTTAAATTTTTTTTGAAAAAAATGCTTAGCATACAATTTCCATATACGACACGAAAACTTTTCCAAGTAATTTCCAAGAAAATATTGACTTTTTTTTCTTTTCACTTAATTTTTTTTTGCAAAACGCTGAAAATTACTATTTCTTTTGTATGGCGTGTTTGTGTATGTATGCCTTGACCAATGTCTGATAATTTGAAAATTCAAAAACTTAAAATAATCATCACTGAAAAATTTTTCCAAAAGTTAAAAGTTTGTTACTTTTGTTATATCATTTGTGAAAGACATCTGGAAAACAATTCAGGCCGTTTTTTGTGCATTGTAAAAGTAAAACCGTCCAACTTTTGGTGCTTTGAGTAACCAAGGTCTTTGTCACTTGTGTTCGGTTGCAAACACAACCCAAAATTTTTCAGAAAATAAACTTAGAAACAAAAAACAACTTTTTGGTTTATGGAGAAAATACCTATCATACAATTTCCATTTATGGGAAAACGTTTTTCATACAATTTTCTGTACGTATGGAATTGTATGGAGTTCTATGGAAAGAAATTTTCCATTTATGAGAATTGTATGGTAAGCATTTTGGTCAACCCGGGTACTCACCACTGCAGTCGCGCCAACGTGTGGCTTGGTTCTGTCCAGCTGGCAACACGTATCAGCGCGATTACGACAAGTCAGGTATTTTCTTTAACTTGTTGTTGGTGCGAGTTGTTTTTACAAAAAAAACAGTGAATTGTCGCTTTTGAACAGTTTTCGCCTCACAGACTTTACAATCTGTACAAGTTGTTCACAAAAAAATGACGAAACATGCGTAACTAGATGGAAACTTACAATCTTAAGTTATACAAACAAATTATGCTCGGACAGCGCGACTTGCAATCCTTTGTCACAACCGTACGGCATCCATATTTTTGCTGAGAGGCCCTAAAGCTTTTCTAAAGATCCTTGGAACCGATATTTACTCTTCCTGATGAAAAAGGGGCAAAAAGATGCACTTTTTAGTCACAATCATAAACATTTAAAAAAAATTGGCACATTTTTTTATAGATTAAATTTTGCAAAGCTTTTTGATTCATCTCTGACCAGAGTGCTTTTAAATAATGATTGTATTCAAAATTCAGTTTTTGCTGCATTAATAGACACACCAATTTTTAAATTTGTTTTTTCGACTTTCCTTGAAAAAATTTTCCTCGGTGTTCTTTTTCTTACAGATAAACTCCAGCATTCAACTGGCAATATCTGAAAGGTTTTTTGTTTTAGAGTCTGCAAAACAATAAAGCTTTAAGCTCCAAACTAAAATAATATCTATCTTTCGACCATTTAAAAAACTTTTTAAGAGGGTTTGAAGATAGCACGCTGTTTCATCTCATCTGATTTATCCAGATATTGCAATCTAGACGCATTGGGTACCGTTCTTAGTTTTTGACAAATTTTTGTATGAAAAGTTTAATAAACTTGAGCGTAAACAAAAGAGTTCGAACCTAATGATTGAAAAAATTATAGATAAAGATCGAACTATTTGATTTCCAAGTCAGTGATAAATAATAAGAGATGTCACTGATATAAGTCAAAAGTGATTGAACAACTTAATAATCAGAACTGGCGCAGTGATGTTTTATTGTTCCGACTTTCGTAACAAAAGTAGCGGAGTATTTGTGCTCGGGTGGGTTTTTTTCTTCAGAAAAATTTCAACTTTTTAACTAGCTTTTTTTGACAATTTTTGTTATCATTCTAAAGCTATTGTTGTATTGAGCTTAAATTTGAAAAGATATTTCACCTGTGATTATAGTTTGTAAATCTTTCACAAAACACCCTCGCCAAGCACTGGGTAAAGTTTTTCGTAAAGTTGTGAGGTTTAAAGATTGCCATTTTGGCCAACTTTCGACAAGCAATGCGCGATATATTTTGCGCAATGAACGCGTAAGCGGAGGTTTAATCCGTCTTAGAAATCGTTCCAAATTGGTTCAAGAAAGCTTATAGGTCACCTTTGATTTGTTAATAGGAGCAAAACTTATCACTTTGTACTTAATATGGCGCGTGACAAGGGATATTTTTTAGAGAATCTCAAAATTTTTCAACTTACGTTTTTTTTTTGCTTAACTGAACTGTTAATAACTTTTTTAACTTAACTGCTATTTTCTCTTTAACAGGGGTAACTGGCTGCAATTTATGTTGATCAAAAAGACGAAAAACTTTTAAATGGAATTTAATGTCCATGTCTTTCCGGCAGTATTCGAATTTTTTATACATGCCTTGCAATGAGATAGGTAACAAAAATTTTTAATATCAAGTTCTGGTACTTTTCATGCAGTTCGAAAAAATATTGAAGTTAAATTAGTTTGTTATCTCACTCACCTGTAAACGAAAATTTGTTTGGGTTATCAAACTTTTGAGAAAAGCATTTTTTCAAAGTTTTCCTCGTCGCTTAAGATTCATCAAATCAACTCCAAAAGTACTCAGGTAATGAGTCTAGTTACAAAATTTTCCTAAAAATCCAAAAACCAACAACTAAAAAATTTGTTCTTATGAAACTTTTCAAAAGAAGTTGATTGTTATCAGAAACTTTTTTTAAAGGGAAAAACATTCCATTTAGTCGCGAGCTTAAACCGCTCATTATACATTGCTAAACTTGTGTTAATTGTAAATTTGAAACTATTCATAGTTTCAGCCAGAGAAAACATAATACAGCTTAAAATCAGTTGCCTCTTTTTCTCCTCTAACCTCGCAAGAATACCTATATACATTAGATCTATTGAGGCTAGGAAAAATTAGAGTAAGATAAGGATTGGTATAAGACTAAGAAGTTGCACGAATCTATACGGCCTAAAATATGATAGTTCGACGAACAGTCGGCGTACCCTGTCCGAAACTATTCTATCAGAAGACCACCCGGACCTAAACTCATTCGAAACTAAATTGAAAACATACAAAGTACTATGTATTTTTAACAATGAGCCTCAAATTTTTAAAAATCAGCAAATCGTAAGAGTGCTTTCAAGGAACGGTTGTTTTGAGTTTTGACAACGAAGTAGGGCAAAACGACGGAGAAGGAAAAAATATAAGGTTCGATTGGCTCTCGATTCGTTTGGTTTTTCGACGGATGGCATCTATTTGTTTTAGTTGCACTCATTCTTCTGCATTCACTAGCAAATAAAAACTCGATTCGCAAAAATAGTTAATCAGAAACAGGTACTACATAGTATACTTCTTCCCAGCTCCCTGCTAATAATTTCTAAAATGAAATTCAGGGTATGTTGTTACATCAACCCATTCAAAAGTTTAACAAATGAAACTTTTTGATGCCTTATTCCATGCACACAGCCAGTTTTTTCCAAATAATTTCATGAAAAATAATCTGGCTTTTTAGACAGGTTTTTCATATTTTTGATAAATTGAGCTCAAATACAAACAAAAACTTCATCTGCGACGATTTTTTTTTCTGTAAGAAATGAGGATTTGAAAATTACTATTTGGCCGACTTGCGATGAAAAATACGCACAAAACTTTCAATTTCCAATTGATGCGGTCCAAATAATTCAGCTAAAAATTCATTCAAGCTATTGATATCCAAAGTGTTGTGTTCTAGATGCAATTCTGATCCATTTTTAGACGGCATTGCTTGAAAAAATTTACTATTGCGTGGAAATGCAGGAAGTTATACTAGATACTTTGAAGAGTTGTCGGAACATTCAAAGCTTTGCCCTGACACGAGCAGTCTGGTTTGATTGTCTCAAAAATCAATTTAATTCAAATCAACATTTCAGTTCAAAA